AATTTAAATTGCTATCAGTCTATTCTGATTTAAACTTGATAACGTTGTTGTATGTATGTCTGAAGCTTTATGTTTATATTTGATGCACATTATTATATCACAGAGTTGCATCTCTGTCTTTGATCCAGCAACAGCATGAAACACCTTCATATAGAAATTGTGTTCAAAGAACTCAGTGAATGCAAGTCTCACCACGAGACTTCTGAGTACCGCTGTATCAGTATGCGAAGTACATGTCAGAGAGGTGTTCTCTCCAGGTGACTCTCTGCTTCCCAGACATTGCGCTGGACAAAATTATCGCGCCATTAGCATTTATCATATTTCTGATAATATAGATTAGATTTTGCCGCTGAAGTGGCTAATTTATTTTTTCACCCCATATCCATTCTGTGGACGGCAGCACAAGAGCATATGGATACACAAAAGGCCTAGGAACTAGGCCCCAAAGGGTTAACAGGTGTGCATTTGGATTTATATCTACATATCTACAGTTCACTTATCTGTTACAAGCAAATTTAGAAAATTTGCTTAGTATATCTGGTATCTTATTTTCATTAATAAGATATCTTGACATGTCACATAGGTTATTTTACTGTCTATCTCTGTATTCCTCAATAAGTGGACAATTAAGCACATAGTGTTCAAGACAGTAACCATATGCCTGATCATATAATTTACATTTAGTTTGATCATCATCTGTGTGTCTCCCAAACTGCCAGAAGTACTTGTAACCAAGCCTAAGCCTGGCCACTACAACATCAGTCAGTCTGTTCACATTGCAAGTTGCTCCATAAACATACTTATCTACGTTCATGTTATCATAGTGGGTTATAGATCTACTCAGGCTTCTAACTGCATTCCTATAACAATCATTTTCATTATTTACTTCTCTCCTAATATTATTCCTAATGTTAGACACAGATATATCAAAGTTATATTCTACATTCTCCTTCTTGGTACTCTTCTTGGCTAACATATCAACTTTATCATGAAGGAGTAATTCAGTGTGTGATGGGATCCATAGCAATTGTACATTAATTCCTTTGTCCCGGATTTTTGAGTATCTATACCTGGCTTCTTCAGTGAGCATGTTGTTGGAGTCATAATATGAGTTAAGAGCATTCAGTGATGACATAGAATCAGTAGTGATGATAGAGTCAAGCTCAGGCTGATAATATTCACTACTAACAAGATGATGAATAAGACAAAACAAGTGCGTCAAATCCATACACTTGTTGGTATTGTATACAATCAATATGAAAAGTGTTTGGCACAGTAACACCATTTGTGTCTTGGAACAGCGGAAGTTTTCTGCAGCTTATCTGCTATACAGTGGGTTATTATCACCTGCTTATATTCGTGCTGCTCCTCACTTACCGTCTTACATATGAGATCAAGCTGCATGTCTATGCTTCAGGCTTGAGGAAGTGACCAACTCCTACTAAAAATAACGGACTGATCGCGTCAGAGCTGCCTCTGATATCTCCACTGTTGTATTATGCTGTATCCGCCATTAGTACTTGACAACGTCCAAGGAAAAGACTCAATAAAATGGAAAAGAACGTCCCTCATGTCCAGTTCTCTGGTTGCATCAGTAAGTCTAGTTTCTCCAAACATCCTCTAGTTAGCTCTTGAGAAGTTTTCTTCTGCCCTCTTAACCTTGTCTGTAAACTATTTCATCTCTGAAAGTTTCCAATTTCAACTTCTTGATAGTGTTATAAAAGGATTTGGCCTTTTCCTACCACTGTTTGTGGAAAATCTGGAAAGCTTTTGCCGTTGTGTCAACAGGTCAATAAACCTCGGATGGTGCAGCTGCCCGAGTTGCTGGTGATCACAATATCTGAAGCAAGTGGATTTGTCCAGTCGCTCTCCAGCAAATCAATCAATGAGGCAAAGTTGAACTCGCCTCTTAACGTAAGGATACACAAGGTCAGAGCGACAGACCCAGAAACTGGACAGAGATGTGTTCACAAAGTTGATTTAGTGCTGCTCCTGCTACAAGTTGATCCATCAAGTGGCTGACAGTGTACCTGAGTTGAAGCTGATGCTACATTTTCTTCCGGTAGCTTGGATCTCTTCGTTCGTTCCTTCTCTCATTCTTCTCTGTGTCTGTCTGTCTGTCTGTCTGTCTGTCTGTCTGTCTGTGTCTCTTTGTGATTACATAAGACACCGGTACATGCGAATATAGTCTACTTGAGACTATATGTGTGAGTATCCACAATACTCAGGAACATGTGAATACTCACAATAATTATGTAAATGTGAATATGCTTATCACTAGACCTAGGTACATGTGACTACACACACCATCCAAATAACTTGTAACTAAAAATTGCTCAGACTTATGTCTCTACAAATTACGTAGGCACATCCATGCTATTTATTCCGAGTTACTAAAGGTATAATTACGATCTCTGAGCAAAGAGAAGGCTGGTCTTACTTCCAGTAATGAGTTACCTTCAAGACTGAGTTACTAAATTTATGTTTTTGAGTGCTGAGCAAAGAGAAGGCTGATCTTACCTCCAAGAATGAGCTACTGAAAGTATGTTTGTGAGTACTGAGCAAAGAGAAGGCTGATCTTGCCTCCAAAAATGAGCTACTGAAAGTATGTTTGTGAGTACTGAGCAAAGAGAAGGCTGATCTTACCTCCAAGAATGAGCTACTGAAGGTATGCTTGTGAGTACTGAGCAAAGAGAAGGCTGATCTTGCCTCCAAGAATGAGGTGTTGAAGGTCTGTTTGTGAGTACTGAGCAAAGAGAAGGCTGATCTTACCTCCAAGAATGAGCTGCTGATGGTATGCTTGTGAACACAGAGTCAAAAGAAGACTGATCTTACCTTCAAGAATGAGTTACTGAAGGTATCATTGACAGTCCTGAGCCAAGAAGAGGTGGGTCTTACCTTCAAGAAAGTCATGTTGCTATTCTGCAACAGAAGAGAAAAGGGAAAATCTCTTTAGCAACTGTAATAATATTTCATATATAATAAAATAAAAATTGTATTATAAAGTACTGGCCATGCATTGCATACGAGTCAAATATTTCCACGATGAAAAGATTGAGCATGACTGACGAGAATTATTACAGCACATTTACAGAAACCAAGAATAAGGCAGAATATTTAAAACAGAAAACGTGCACACGCACACACACACGCACACACACACACACACACACACACACACACATGTATTTTGTCTATAAATAAAGTTCACACACACGCACACACACACACACATATAATATATATATATATATATATATATATATATATATATATAATTATATATATATATATATATATATATATATATATATATATTTAACACGTCGGTCGTCTCCCACCGAGGCAGGGTTACCCAAAAAGAAAGAAAATCCCCAAAATGACAATACTTTCATCATTATTCAACACTTTCACCTCACTCATACATAATCACTGTCTTTGCAGAGGCGCTCAGATACAACAGTTCAGAATGTCCCTCCAAACTGCTAGTACTCAAAACCCCTCTTCCCATTTCCAGAACTCAAGTCCGGCTAACCGGTTTCCTTGAATCCCTTCACTAAATATTACCCTGCTCACACTCCAACAGCTCGTCAGGTCCCAAAAACCATTCGTCTCCATTCACTCCAATCTGACACGTTCACACACGCTTGCTGGAAGTCCAAGCCCCTCGCCCACTAAACCTCCTTTACCCCCTCCCTCCAACCTTCTCGAGGACGACCCTTACCCCGCCTTCCTTCCCCTTCAGATTTATACACTATCCAAGTCATTCTACTTTGAGCCATTCTGTTTAAATGACCAAACCACCTCAACAACCCCTCTTCAGCCCTCCAACTAATACTTTTAGTAACTCCACACATCGTAATTTCCACACTCCGAATTCTCTGCATAATATTTACACCACACACTGCCTTTAGACAGGACGTCTCCACTGTCTTCAGCCGCCTCCTCGCTGCAGCATTCACAACCCAAGCTTCACACCCATATAAGAGTGTTGGTACCACTATACTTTCGTTCTTTGCCTCTATGGATAACGTTTTTGTCTCCACGTATACCTTAACGTGCTACTCACCCTTTTTCCTTCATCAATTTTATGGTTAACCTCATCCTTCATAAACCCATCCGCTGACAAGTCAACTCCCAAATATCTGAAAACATTCACTTCTTCCATACTCACTCTCTCCAATGTGATATCCAATTTTTCTTTATCTAAATCATTTGATGCCCTCATCACCTTACACGTATCTATGTTCACTTTCAAGTTTCTACCTTTACACACTCTCCCAAACTCGTCCACTAACCTTTGCAACTTTTCTTTAAAATCTCCCATAAGCACAGTATCATCAGTAAAAAGTAACTGTGTCGACTCCCATTTTGTATTTGATTCCCCATAATTTAATCCCACCCCTCTCCCGAACACCCTAGCATTTACTTCTTTTACAACCCCATCTATAAATATATTAAACAACCATAGTGACATTACACATCCCTGTCTAAGACCTACTTTTACCGGGAAGTAGTCTCCCTCTCTCCCACACACCCTAACCTGAGCCTCACTATCCTCATAAAAACTCTTTACAGCATTTAGTAACTTACTACCTATTCCATACACTTGCAACATCTGCCACATTGCTCCCCTATCCACTATCATATGCCTTTTCTAAATCCATAAATGTAATGAAAGCTTCCCAACCTTTATCTAAATATTGTTCACATATATGCTTCAATGTAAACACTTGATCTACACATCCCCTACCCACTCTAAAGCCTCCTTGCTGATCTGCAATCCTACTCTCTGTCTCACCTCTAATTCTTTCAATAATAACCCTACCATACACTCCTGGTATACTCAGTAAACTTATTCCTCTATAATTTTGCAATCTCTTTTGTCCTCCTTCCCTTAATATAAATGATCTAACATGCTCCCTGCCAATCCCTAGGTACCTTCCCCTCTTTCATACATTTATTAAATTAAAATACCAACCACTCCAATATCCCCTCCCCCCTGTTTTTAACATTTCTGTCATGATCCCGTCAGTTCCAGCTGTTTTGCTCCCTTTCATTCTCCGTAATGCCTCACGCACCTTCCCCACACATTCTGCTCGTCTTCACTCCTAAAAGATGTTATACCTCCCTGGCCAGTGCATGAAATTACCGCCTCCTTTTCTTCATCAGCATTTAAAAGTTCCTCAAAATATTCCCGTCATCAACACAATACCTCCAGTTCCCCATCTACTAACTCCCCTACTCTGTTTTGAACCGACAAATCCTCCTCTGATGTAAATTGTTGGACGCATAGCCTCGAAGAAGTGGATAAAAATGTTTCAATTAAGAATATTTGGATTTCTTCCTGAAGCCATGTGAATATTCCACTTCCCCTACCACCCCATCTTTTCATTCTTTTTTACCAGTATGCACATTTTATTACATAATATGGTACAAAAGATTTAAAGATACATTGTTGATATAAAGATGACATATACAGTACATGAGGTGTGAGAGATACATGTCTAGTACATAGTGTTATACGTTTCCTTAAAGAATTGGGTTCCAGACTCATCGACAACCCCAGGGACCCAAGGGCAGCCACTTTCATGTTCCAGCTCCTCAGTGTGGCCATCCACAGGGAAAATGCTTGCTGCATACTTGGTTCGCCTCCGGCTTTGGAGGAGCTGGAGGAAATCCATAATCTTTAACATATTGTACCATTTATTCATGTTTGTGTTTCCTGTAAATGTATTATGTCTATTAATAAATTTTCCCATAGAATATAAAATATAGGGGGCGGTAGGAGAAGAAAATATTCAAACAGCTCCAGGGAGAACCTTGAGTTTTCCCTGAGGTACGCGTATTGTCTTCTGTGAGGATGAGGGTCCCCAGTTGTGTGTGTATATATATATATATATATATATATATATATATATATATATATATATATATATATATATATATATATATATATATATATGGTAATAGAGAAGTAGAAATGAGATTCGTAGTAAAATGAAAACACTACCTACCTATCGAACTAGTACGCTAAAGGGAAATATACGTGATCTAGTTATAACGATGTCTGAAATCTTACGTTCAAGGAACACAGTAATGACTCACGAAGTCGTAATGAAACGGAATTGGTGGGGCTTAACCAATGGCAAGTGAGTTAATGAAACTCATAGGCCAGTGCGTTAACAACTGAGTTTTAGGACTCACTTGCCATGGGTTCAAACCAAACCTGTTCTGTGATTTATGTCACACAATAATGTTATCATATCTTCAAAGAAAACGATTGATTTTATGGGAAGAATTTTTAAAACAAATAATACAATGCTTATGATAATTCTCTTTCAGGACTCTGGTAAGACAAACAAAATCACAGACCTGAAAACTTAAGAGAAATTTAGTTAATTACATAAATTTAAACATTTAAACTATTGAAAAGTTTAAAATAATTTAAAGTGTTCTCACTGGAGTGCACACGATGAAGATATTACATAATTTACAAATGAAAAATGCTGGAGGGACTAACTTCAAGTCTGCGTCATCAACCCCCTCAGCCAACCCCACACCTGCTATTCTCCACGTTGCAAATATTCTGTATAATATTCACACCACAAGTGGCCTTCAAACACGATATCAGCCTCCTCGCTGCGACGTTTAAAATTCACGTATAATAAGGCTGGAATCACTATAATCTATTACATTTCCTGTTTGCCTCCATGGATACAGTTCTTCGTCTCCACAGATGTCTCATCACATCACTCATCTTTTTCCGCCACGTCGATTTTATAGTTCATCTCATCTTTCACTGGACTCCACTCCCAGTTACGTGAACATAATTACCTCCTCCACATTTCCTCCCTCCAAGCTGATACCCAGTCTTTCATTGTCTAATTTATCTGTTAATATCATCACCTTGATGTTTCCTGTGTTCATTTTAATTTCCGTTTTAATATATCGCAAATTCCTTCATATTTTAACTACACACACACACACACACACACAAAAAAAAAAAAAAAAAAAAAAAAAAAAAAATTTTTCAATAAGGAAACATGCTATTTCACCGCTGTCACCATTTGTGAAGATAATTTTTTTTCTTTTTTTTTTGACGTTTTATACTTGTGTTTGCCCAGGTCACATTAAGGCTTCCACAAATGTTACTTATCTACTACTAATAAATAATTTTGTCTTTACTGTGGTTCGTATTCATTTAAAGCGAAAGTTCATTCTAACTTTATTCAAAATGTTATCTCCATTAGTTTCAGCCTCACTCCTGTCTTAAATGCCTCTTATACCGTTCCATTATACAGGGTGTTTCGTTCCTCTCTTCCTAAGTTCTTAGTTACCATTCTTATATTTCTACCGTAACTTGGCTTCCACTATTACCCTTTCGGCTACACCGATCATATCTAAATCCTTTTATCAAGGCTGCTGGATTAAGCACATCTTTCCTGGACTGAGGTACTGATTGCCTCACACTCCCTCTGCACATCTTCCACCGATTTTCTCTGCACTAGATTGATTATCCCACTGGTTGGCACAATTTTTCCACAATGAAGATACCTCCACCACCACCACCACTACGCTGACCACAGTCACCACTTTTCCTAACCCGACCTCGATAATTGCTACCACTACCACAGCTAACCTTACCAAGTTAACCACCGCCATAACCATCTCCCCTATCAAATCCACCACTACTGTAACCCCAGCAACGAAAATCACCACTATTCCACCACAAAAAACATCAATATTATCCTTCCTCTTACTGCGATCACCATCACATCACCACAACACTCATCACCATCCCTACTACATCCATTACTATTAATACTACGACCTCTGTCACGTCTATTTTCACCATCACTACCCATATCACCACCCATTCAATCACCAACACTACCCCTACCACATCCATCACCAGTACTGCCTCTGCCATTTCCACAACCAGCAACCCCACCCACACTACATCCATCATCACTACTGTAACCAGCATTACACTAACCACTTCTCTCACCATCAAGAGTACAACCACTGCCATCTACACCACGAACTTCCAACACAAAACATAACCCTGTCTCTTTCCTTATATCACTACACAGTAAACCTCCCAAGCTCATTCACACGGAGAAAACTAAACTGATGTAGCGAGAAGAGGAGAGGTAAGTACACACTGGTCCCTCCTCCTACCTCGCACCAGGTGCGGTTCTTGACACAAGAAAAATGTGCAAGCTGTCATGACTTTCAATGTTTACGATGAACGCTGCACAGGAAATTGGGTCACGTTCCTTCAGGGAAAGGAGCTGGACTAGCACGTAAAAAGTAAAGAGGTGAAGGAAGAGATGGAAGGACATAAGGACTGAAAAGAAGGATAAATACGGAGAAGAGATTGAAACTAATGAGAAAAACTAAAGACACAAGGACAAAAACACAGCATGACAAAAGAATTGCGTTTAGCTTTACAAGTATAATATATAGACATATCGCCCATATCTATACAATAAAGTCAAATTTTATTATCTCAGCCACCGATAAACAGTAATTACAGAAATAAAACGCAATTTTATTGTGCAAAATTATATTTTCATTGCCTCTCCTCGATGACTAAAGATGGGAAAACTAAATGAAATTAAAAGTTGGATGGAAATATTCAAGATAACAGTGTTTAAAAAAAAGTCTAATTTCCTTCGAAGCTAATACGGGCAGGACTTATTGCCAATAACAGAAAAGTGGATCCAAATGGCGTGCTGCCAACACTAGTGAAGAAAAGAGACAGCGCTTTGTGAAGACTTGGCTTCATACAGCTCTACACAGCTGCTGTAGTTTGGGTCTTAGATAACGTCGATGTAAGTCAGCGAAGCATGAAGTGATAGGGTTAGCCAGTATGAGAGGTGAAGTCCACTGTGGACTGAAGGGAAGAAGGGACTTAACTGTAGTCCCTGGGAAACAAGAACGAAGTGATGTCTAATCGCTTTGCCACGTTCTGTTATTGTTTTGTTAGTAATGACTAAGATGGCGTCAGAGTCAGAAGTGTACGAACCAACCGTCTTTTTTTCCATACTGCGCTCATTGAACAAATAACGTTTACGGTGTTATTTGACAGTACGTATGTGTGTGCTCATGTTTGTTTGCATGCTGGAAAAAGCTCTGGAGACAAATGCTATAAAGTCGACAAGTGTCGAGAAAAGATACAGTTGCGTCAAGGGAGAAGCCGAGTTAAGATACAACAAGTGTCAATAGGTGCTAGAGGGAGTAGGTAGAACGCCGGTACGAGATTCGGACAAGTGATTGGCCCAAAACGATTCCGGGTTTTTAGGGTCCAAGGCCATACTGGATTCGGTGAAGGGTGTTCCAGTTACTTGGGATCCTCGAGAATGAGCTATATTCTCATTTATCATAAGGTTAAAAAAATGGAGATACCTCTGTGATTATTATATTTGAAAATGAACGAAAAAGGAAACCAAATACGCACTCTGAATCACAGTCACCTCCTCAGCGGCAGATAGTAGTGTTGATCCAGGGAAACCAGCTCTTAACTTACTCGGTGCACACCACCAGGATGGCATCTCCAGAACTGACTAATCTACTCTTAGTGAAGCCGCCTAATTATAAAAGAACACTATGCAATCGTCTTTTGGGTAATAATATTGGAAAATAAACCGGATCTGCAGGCAACCTCCGGTAATTCTTCCGTCAGAGGCCTTGCCAGATACGTTCGCTGCCTTAAAGGAAGGTTAACTGACATGACCTAAGATTATGCAGTTTCCACCGGGAAGAGACAACTATCACAACACTACGACTGAAACTATGAAAAAACTAGACTGAATTTCAGGAAATGGGAAATTTTTCCCACTAAGGCAGACGGAGAGAGGGATAGTCTGGGTTTCTTTAGATTCGTCTTGTGGAAGAGGATAAGAAGTCAAATTTCCAGGATTAGCATTTTACAAACTTTACTAAGCTTGGTAATAAAACTCTTTTCTAATTCATTTTTTATAGGAATGATTTTCCTTCTTAGTATATTTTAGTTTCTTTGAAGCTTAATTTCAATTTGTGCACCATATCCAGCCATGGATAAGTTGTTTTACCCTTAGTTCTCTTACAAACTCCAGTGGATTCAAGACGAGATTTTCCACCCCTGAATAAGTGTTAAGTTTTGCTGAGGAAGCTCTTCTCCTGTCCCTCCTGGCAATCATCTCCGTCACTGTAGTCAGAATGCATGTCAATGATGCAGGGATGTAATTTAATGCCTCCTTCATATCTTCCTGCTCGAATATAAGAACCACATAACCACATAAGAACCTACTGCTCAGAAGTTATTCATTCTTGAGCAGACTGTTCGAAATCCTTGCTATTTTCTCTCTCTACTGATGTTCCTCTCTGTAACCATGTTATGTTGTCAAGCCACATGATTTTTAACGTGTCATGAGTTTTCTCAATATCTTCACTCTTATCTGATAAGTAGTTTCATTCCAGTATCTTCTGGGCTGACCTGACCCCATATGTTCCCTGGTATAATTTCATGTTCCTCTACTAACACTTAACTATCCTCTCTCTGATTCCATGTACATTTCTGTAATCGATGAGCACTCGTTGTTCTTTTTTATTTGTATTTTTATTTGCTCTACAACCATTTTCATTCATTGTTGTTTTGATGTAGTTTCGTTTCTGTTTTGGCCATTTCTGCTACATCACTTATTGTTTCTGGGCTTCCGTTCGTGTGTTTACATATCATCATGAAGAATGAGACATGCAACATTTGGAAATCTTTACTGAGGAAACGTTTCGTCAGCCAGTGGCTTCATCAGTTCAATACAGAGAAGAACTGTGTAAAGAGAGGAGTTTAAGGTAATTAGTCCCTCAACTTGGAATTGATGCATTCAGCCCATCAATCTTGAAGAAAGTACAGCATAAGCTTCTCCGAGCATATGCACATACACTTTGAAATTTGTGAAGTAATGTATTATATATTTCTGTACCTAGTTAAAAATACCAAGCTTTGTAACTCCTTCATTTACTGTTTTATATTTATTTTACATTACTAGTTTACTGTGACCTACTCTGCTTCATCACTTTATCACAGTTTCCCTCTTCCTTGATTTATCTTTATATATTGATATATATTTTATTAAAAATTCTGGTTTCTGTATAAAGACATTTACTGTACTGAGTTTAGTTATATAATTATTTGTAATTTACATGTCTATATAAATTCTCATATACTATTCTTTCCTCTTTTAACCAATTTTATAGTAAAATATTAATATTAGATATTGCATGCTAAGAACGAGCGCTCCAGCAACGTCAAGTTACCCACCCTCATGATTATTTTTTTTTAGGTTAGGTAAAGTATATCAGGAAACAGGACAAGTGTTTCCTGACGCGGGTCTTAGTCACATGATGACCCGCCACTGAAACTTATGGTCATCTGACCGAGGCCTTACGCTGGCTTACTGCTTCACCCCTTTAAAAATTATAACCATTCTTTATTTTTTTTTTTTTGGTTTAATTTTATTTTAATTCTATAATTAATTTCTTAATTTATTAAGTAATGCAGTAAAAATATATTAAAAAATTATTTTTGTCACCGAGTTTTTAAATTTTGATATTTAACATTATATAAATTTTATTTATTTTTTTTTATTTATTCTAAGTTATTTCTGTAATTTATCCTTTTTCCTTGCTAATAAAATTCTTTATTTCCATGAATTGTGAATTTTATTATAATCAAAAAGAAGCGTTAAACCACAAGGGCTATACAGCGCTGATATTAACTGTGAAACACCGCAGTAAAAAAAATAATTTTTTTTTACCTCCCTGAGTTTTTATTTTATTGATGTTTTATATTGCGTAAATTTGATTTTTTTTCATGTGGGCATTTTTTTTAAATCCTCATAATCATTAATTTTACACCTAAATGACTTTTCCCTTGAATTATTTTTCCTTGAATTATTTTCCGTTGAATTATTTTTCTTGAATTATTTTCCCTTGTACTTTTCCCTTAAATTATTTTCCCTTGAATTATTTTCCCCTGAATTATTTTCCCTTGAATTATTTTTCACTTGAATTGTTTTCCCTTGAATTATTTTTCACTTGAATTGTTTTCCCTTGAATTATTTTTCCCTTGAATTATTTTTCCCTTGAATTATTTTCCCCTGAATTATTTTCCCCTGAATTATTTTTCGCTTGAATTATTTTTCACTATCTTTTTAAGTTGAATGAGATTGATGTTGAGTTTATTACTTACTGTGGTGTGTGGAGTGGGTTGTGGCACCACTTTAATACTCGACTCTCCACTCCCATTACTCTGCAAATAGAAAAAAAATCTTTCTCATCCTTACTTCTTATATGTATATACTTATTTTTTTTATCCTCATTCCTTTATTTTAGAATGCAAACAGTTCACTGCTGATGCTAATGAAGGGGAAAAACGGATCTTGTGAAACAAGATTTGAGCGATAGAATTCAGGTGTACATTGTGAAAAACGTTGACCAAAGGAAGCTTACAA